TGTCATTTGAAAGTAATCGAAGTTTCGATTTTTGCTTTTGAAATCATTGCTGCTTTTCCTATTTTTCTTGTTTTACTCACGTGGCTCCAGTAAAATGCCAACATAAAACAGTAGTGTTGGCATCCTTGTCTTGTTCTTGATTTTAAAGATAGTGCTTCTCATTTTTACTATTAAAAAATTTGCTATCTTTTTGGGGAGAGGGTGTCAGGATATTTCTTAATTGCCAAATGGGTTATCCTCTATTTTGTTCATTGGCATTTAAAAAAAGAGTCTTAAGTGGCCAGGTGTGGGGTGCATGCCTGTAATCCTAGCATGGCAATCTCTTCCGCTTCCGTGTTCCTTCTTACATTGCCAAGCAGAGCTGTGCAAACCTCTTCTGGTTCTGAGTGTTGCCACATTCATGAACTGCGCTTTGCTCAAATAAAAAAATGTTCTTTTAACATTAGTAGCCAAGGAAAAACAAACCATGAGCAAAATAAAGTGCTATTTTACAACCATGCAACTGGAAAAAGTTAAAAAGACTGAACATAACATGTATTATATGATATGAGTTTTATTAACAGCGAGAAAATGAAAGGTATTTTTTAAAAGTTGGAAAACAATATTGTGAGGTAAACATTTGCATTCCCTATGCACACCTGAGGAAACGTACACATAGGTACCAAGATAGAAAAGTACTCATAGATGGACTGATTATGAGAGTAAACAGACAGAAATAACCCAAATCAATTAGCAGAGGAAGGGACAAATAAATCATGCCACACAGTGAAATGTACTACAGCAATGAAAAGTAGCAACTACGTGCAACAACACGGATGAATCGAGTAACAGCATATAGTGAAAACGGGGCAGAAGACTATACACATTTCATTTTCAAAGCTCCAATCAGGCAAAACTAAAAAAAGCGCACTGTTCAGGGATACCTACTTACACAGCATAATTACTTATTTAAAAGCACTGAGATGATGGTTACGAAGCTGAGAACAATGAAAACCTCCTGCGGAGGCAGTGGGATAAAGTGGGACCTACGTGCAGTGGATGAACAGTCCTGGCAATGCTCCAGTTCTTACACTGGATGTTGGAATCCAAGGTTACCATGCCCTGCTTAAGCTTTATAACTCAATGCACTACATATATTAATGTATACATGTCACATAGTATATGATAAAAATTTAAAGCAAAGTGTTAAAATTGAACCTTATTCAAGGAGTAATACATAGAAGCTAACTAATCCTAGCTGAACTAGTTATTTCTTTCCAGTTTATTTTAGTCACATTCCATTACCATAACTGTGACAATCACCATTTTATTTAAATCCTGCTCAATAATTGTAAAACTAGTGTCAAGCACAATGCACGTTAAGAAGTAGGCAGCACACAATGACATTATAGAAAATTATGTGAATGTCACAACCTTACGTCTATCCCACAATTGATTAAAATCAAAATAAATCACATTGAAGTCATCTTTCATTTATAAGTAGAGAAAAAAGATAAAACAGTATATGAACATAATTTGCTACATTTTTTTCTATTGTTATATATGACTGACAAAGTTTCTATTCTAGCATACTATATGCTAAGCAGATTTATTCTTCCTTAGAATATTAAAAAACAGAAAAAATATCTTTTTTTAAATCTACTAAGGACCAAGTTTTTCTTCTTTGAAGGGCTGATAATGATGCTTCTGGAAATACATTAGCTATTCATCATAATAACAACAAAAAAGAAGAGAAAGAAAATTTATAGTAAGTTAAAGACTACACAATTTTCAATGGGAACCTAGAACCAGTAGCAAAATTAAACAAAACAAACCTGGTCAAACTTTCATACTGAAGAAAAACAAAATTATGTCAAAAATACAGAGAAAATGTGCTCTAGCATAGATTCATCATAATCTGAAAACAACAAATGACACCATATTTTATAATATATTCTTTGATGGAAGAAATGAATTCCCTTTAAGAAAAATAGGTAACTTAGAAAAGGTTTGAGAAATCTCAACTCTTTTGTTAAAGACTTCCCTTGTATCATTAAAGAGGGATTGATATTACTTACTTATATTTGGAAGGAAAACTGTTTTATTTTTAATTTGCCCAGAATTTCTGTGTAAAATGAGAGCCAAGTAGTGATTCTTAGCAGTGAACTGCACAGAACAATGCTCACTCGGTATTCATTCTAAGTCTTAACTAAGTGTAGCCTGTCAACTGTAGCCCACTCAGTTATTCTGAAGCTCATTATCCACTTTCTTTTTCTAGACCTTTGTTCTGTTAGGTCCCTCGTATTAGACATTTAAGTTCACTTCTGTAAAAACTTTTTGCCACAGGAGTGAAAAAGAAAAAGAAAGACAAGCTCACATTTATTCACTAGTTGAAGCTGTTCTAAACCATTACTAGACCTGAAAGAGGCTGACCACAGTGAGGAACATTAAAAAACTCAGGCCTCTCTTAACCTGATGTGCAAAATCCCTTCAGATGGTAATGAGTGGTCAGCCAGCCTCTCAAAGGAGCAGCACAGTTGTGGCAACTTCTCTACCTTTTCTAGCCTTGTTTTCCTACAAGAGTATCTTCAAAGGTCAGATTCGATATGGACCTTCCAGAGTTCTGTGGAAGGAGGGAGGGGGTGAGGAGAAGGAAGACAATTTAGGGTTGCTGTACATGACTGCATATATATTAAGATCAACCCTGGCAATCTTGGAGGCTGCATGGGGTGCTCCAGGGGTGGAGAAGTGGGAGGGTGAACTCCGGGAAACACTTCCTTAGGTGGTGTGGAATGAACAGGGTGCCTTGGAGCTCTCTTCACAAAGTAATCTTTTCTTTTTTTTTTTTTTTGGTATGGGGATCAGACTGACCTTGCGCTTGCGAGTCAGCCGCACCACTGAGCTAAATCCCTGGCCCACAAAGTAGTCTTTTAAAGGAGTTTCTCCTTTTATACCCTTAAGCCTGCAATATGTGGGGTCTGGCCATTATTTTAATGTAAAAACTTCTTTTTTAATATTAATCCTCTCAGCAACCATGCTCCCCTTGGCCCCAACTTCGCAGGTACTATACTTCCTTTCTGGCCTATCTATACATTTTTTTCAATCATCTAACTCTGTTTTTTGCTCCTGCTTCTCACTGGAGAGCTGTCTAAAAGCAGCCAACAGTACCCATGGTACAGCCAGAACACTGGACTGTCTTAAAATTTTCTCTGTCAGATCGGTCCATTGTCCTTAATCTCTGTTTGTTGCAAAGTTTTGGGACATGTGCAAAATGAAAACAAACTTTTTGCCAGAGTATAACACACATGGACTCTACGCCAACTGGCAATGGAGTCCTTGTTTCCAATGGAAACCACCAGAGCTTGACCTTTATTGTCCTATTTTTATCAGTGTTTGATCTTCTGAACTCCCACCAGAATCACCCATCAAGCTCTGTTTACAGTGTTTCAGAGCTTCTCTAGTCCACATCTCTAAAGCACTCCAAACTCCTCCCACAAATCAGTTTCAAAGGCTTCTACACTACATAGTTAGGTGTACAATCATAGTGACAACTGTTTTCCTGGTACCATTTGTATATTAATCAGCTTTTCCATTGCTGGGGCAAAATATCTGATGAGCACAACCCAGAGGAGGACAGGTTTAATTTGGCTCATGGTTTTAGGGAATTTAGTCCATGGTTGGTTGGCTCCAAGGCAAATAGCATGGTGGAAAGGCATGGTGAGAAAAGCTGATAATCTTATAGCAGCTAGGAAGCCAAGAGAGAAGAGAAGAGGCTGGCGAGGCCTCTCAAAAGCCACGCCTGACCCCACTGACCTGCCTCTTCCAACCAGGCCTCACCTCCTAACAGCAAATAGAGCTACAGACTCACCAATCCATCAATCCACAGATGAATATGATGCCCCCATGAGGCAACCACCTATTAAAAGTCTCACCTCTACACATATGAGACTTTCAGGGGACACTGTAGATTCAAACTATAAAAGCAGGAAATTGTTTTCCCTAAATATATCTTAGTAATCAATCTAGAGATAAAAGAAATTTGAAAAAGAGAAAAGGCTTTCCATTTGAATCCTATTTAGTACATTACTTTGTTAAAATATTTCACTATAATTAGAAGACATAACAAGGAAATTAGATAATAAATCATGAAAAACAGATACTATGAGAACTTTACCTTCCCAAGATATTAAAAGAACATTATCAATTTTATTCACTTCCGGACAGTGTTACAACACGATCCCCTATCAATCTCCCCTCTTGGTACTCAGCATCTCATGTATTTTATATTACCTGGAAAGATATTATAAAAACTAATTTTTGCCTTTTAAGTTTTGATTTTGAGTACCCATTGTAAAACCAGTGAAAAAATATAAATTATGACAATGTAGCTACCTTCCCTTACTTCTTCTTCCGTGATTATAAACATCTGTATATAAATCCTTTCTGTTTCTCCAATCCCAGATAAACACGTGTGTACATATACATATACACATGCAAATACCTGACTTCATTTAACAAAAAAAATTTGCTACAATTTTATTTTTACTTAACTACTGTTAACATCCATTGAAATAATTACATTTTGTGATACACCCAAATATGAATTTGCTACAATTTATTCAACTGTTCTTCCACTGGTTGACATTGAGACTGTCTCCACTGTCTTAAGTTTTTCTCATTACAAATTATTATCACTCAAGCACACACAGGTAGATGTGAACACAGCATCATGTCTACTATACTGTACTTTTACGACAGTCTCACAAATAGAACTTTCAGAAGAGCAGCATTCATCCTTTCAGCAATTACTGGCAATACATTAATATGTGAGAAACAGTTCTAGAATATCCTTGTAGCTAAAATGTTTCATCAAGCAAATTCTATAAAACTTTTGATACCAAATAGTTTAAGGTTATTTCTAATTTTGTAATATGTTTATAATGACTGATTCAGTAAGGTTGCAATTATCTGTTTGGGCATCTCTCTAAAAACAGTCTATATTGAGGTTGGTTTTAATTTACCTGTTTTTGAAACTTCTGCCCCATTAAGTTCTTTTTGAGCTTCTTCAATTTTGTCTGAGGATAAAACACAAAGAAAATTTTACAAATCAATTAACCAGAAAGAGTACAGTAAAGCAAATATACTATTTATAAAGTGTCGGACACATAATTCTCGAATAAATTTCTGAAAAAAACTGTATGAACATAAAGCAAAGATGTTCTCCCTTAAATTTTTATTTATGTTGATCATTTGTTAGTCACAAAGATTACTCCCAATTAATTAATGATTCTATGATGCAAACAACTATTGTACTTTAAATATTAAACTACAGCTAAAAGGTATTTTGTTACTTAATGAAAGTATCTTAAAATTACACTTTCTTTATATATTAAGTGACCAATAGGGATTTTCTTAGCGATATAATGAATGTCTACTGGCTTAGAAACAGTCTCGTGAGATGATCTGGATGTGCTGTGAGTGTGTCCCCCCAGGGTTCACAAGTTGGAAGCGTGGTCCCTAAGACAACAGTGTTAAGAAGTAGTGAAAACTTTAAAAGGAAGGCATCTTGGGGAGTCCTTGGGTCATTGGGAGACACTGCCCTCAGAAGAGATCAAAGTAGCTCTCGTGGGACTTTGAATCAGTTCTTTAGAAAGGGTTGTAATAAAAGAACAACCCTGGCCACTCCTCAGCATGTCTAGCTTCCTATCTTGTCAGATATCTCTTCCTCTTGGATGTGATCCTACCACAATGGCCCCCACCACGAGGTAGCCAAGAGGGCCCTTCCCAGAGTGAGTAGCATACTTTCAGCCTCCAAAACAATAAGCTAAATGAACTTCTTTTCTTTATAAAACACCCAGCTTTAGGTTATTTCATTATAGTAAAAGAAAAAGGACCAAGAGATGGCCCAAGGCATAAGACAAATATGGAAGAGAGAAGTTTATGGAGAACAGAGGAAATGATGAGCTGAAGAGCTGTGTCATTTCTGTCCCTTGAAAACAGCACTGAGTAGCACAAAGCGCGAGGGCAGAATACTGCATCAAAGATGTAGTATATACAGCTGGCAAGAGAACTACTGTCTCTGCTCACAGCTTTGAGAGACAGGTGTAACCCAGAAGCAACAGCAGAGCCGGGAATAGGGACAGAGACAAGTGTGGCCTAGAGCAGGCTGCTCTTCACTCTGAGGCTCCAGGCACTTGTAAATATGTCCCCATGTTGAACTTTGGCAACAATTTAGTTGAATTTTATAAGGTTATACATATTTGATGATGACGACAGTAACCAATTCCAAATTTAATGTTTGTCTAAGCACTTATCATAATAGAGGTTAAAAAAAATTCCCAGGGTTCTATTTTGCACTGAATTGAATACAGTAGTAATTATATAGCATTGTATATATCCCATGAAAGCACAGTTTGGGTAAATGCTCTCAAAATACTGTTTCTTCACTCATGTAGATAATTATCCTCTGCCTTGTGGCATACACTATCAGCTCCAACAATGTCTCCTATGCCAAACATCACACTACTTGCCAATGAGGACATAACCTCAAATGTGACACTTCACTTTAAATAAGTAGGGGCCATACACCCAACTACGGGCCCTATAAATGCTCGTCTTTCCCCATCTTGCCAGAAAACCAAAAATTCAAACAACCTTCACTTACTGATCAAACTTCCTTAAACTGCATAGTGATCCCAGACAAAGTAAGAGTGGTAGAATAAAGGATGAAAGCTAGCTTGAAATAAGAGACATCATATCTCAGTAAGGGTCAAAAATAACTGAATTTTCATTCTGTCAAATTCATCTCCCACAACAATGTCCTATTTTTGTCCTGATAATGACCAGATCTAGAATATAAATGGAGAGGAGTACAGGCAACTTCTGGAAATGGGACAATTTTTCTGATTTACAAACTACAATTATTTCTCATGAAATTGCGTGTTGATACTTAAAACAGTCCTGGGAAGGGACACATTAAACACATTGGCTGGAGCTGAAGTCCAGGGGTAGGAAACATGCTTAGCATGCACAAGGTTCTGGCATTCCATCACCAGCACCACCCCCAAAATGATTTTTGAGTTTTAACCATAAAGAAATGAAGAAGTGAAACAAATGATAAATGAGTGGACATATGCTTAATCTGATTTAAACATTCCAAAATGTATACATGTATTGAAATCTCACATGTGGTCCCATAATTTTTATGCTTTTATGGAGCAATTAAAATAAAAATAATCAGTGCAAAAGAAATATAGAAACTAGATCCAGCATTCAGCAGTAATTTTATTTCCAAAAATATATATATACACCAAAGCCATGTACGAAATCTACATGAATGTAAGTAACCAAAGAATAAGGGCCACTTAAAAAAATACTCTAAGTACGTTTTAGATATTCAAATTGAAAATAAACAAATCATATAATTTAAATATATTGTCCTTGAGAAACATAAAAAAGTAGTTTTATTACAAAAGCACTATTATTTTTGTGCTGGCAGTACATCCAGACCTATGAATCATAAATAATATAGATGTACATATTATACTCACAGCAATAACGGCCACGCTTTCTAGAGTTTATGCACACATAATCTGACATTATATAATAAAAACACTTTTTTAGTAACAGAATCAATTGGCCCCCAAAGCAACAAAAACTCATGATTTAACAAATACTTGAGAAATGGCTGCTATTTAGTATGCTGAGGCTGGCCATCTTTTGTGTGCACTTTGACATAAATTCTTCCAAAATGACCTCAGTTTATGTTTGCTCACAAAACACTAGTCTTTGCATTTAAATTTTTCAATTAAGTTACCTTTCGTCTGGAAAATCAAGGTATATAAATGTGTGCTACTGACTTAGAACATCTCCTACATTAAGCACAAGCACCTACTCAAATGCTTTTACCCACAGCTCCAGTTCAAAAGGTAAACACACTCTTCCATTAGAGAGCTGTAAGAGCCATTATGAACACCATTTCTTCTGTCAGTTTTGATAGAAAATCCTGTTTTTATTTAACCTATGTTTTAGTACTCTCCTGGTAAAATACAATGTATTTTAAAAACAATCTCCATAATTTCAGCGAATACGGTCATTTACCATACGCTCTTGATTGGTTCATTTAATTTGTTATTATTTAAAGTAGTATGGGGCGGGGAATTTAGCTCAGCAGTTCTGCCGCCTGCCTTGCAAGCCTAAGGTCCCAAGTTCGATCCCCTGTAGAAAAAAAAAATAATAATAATAATAAAATAAAGTAGTATGGCTTGGGTTGTTTTTCTTTTTCCACAATGACCCAGAACAAGAAATATATTTTCACGTTGTACTCCATTGCATAGGTGTATATATAGTCTATGCACATAATTCACAGAGAAACTTACCTACACTCTACTTTGTATACTTTCCTATTAAAAATGAAAAATGTTGTCCCTTGCCAAACTACATGAACTTCAGGACTCTGCTGGATTGCAAACCTCCAGCTCAACACTCAAGAAGTAAAGAGCAATTCTAACACATCTTTCCATTACACCTTTATCATCAGTAGCATAGCCCAGCAATACTGTCTCTCCCTGTTAACTCCTGTTTCGGGGGTGGAGGGAGAATGGGGGGAGGACGCTATCTTAGCTTCTGAGCCATCTTGCAATGCCTCCTCAAGATCACTGTGATATGAAGCAACAACTGCACAAAGAACTACACAGGCTTGATCTGTAACAATTTAAATAATTTCTCCCTCAATGCTCATCCTCGCTCCCATTTCTCAGCTAGACTCTACCCATATATCCCCACTCTCCACTTGGCCTTACAGCACAAATCAATCACATGTTGGAAGTAGAGTCTAATGAACTGTAAAAGGCACCTGCTTTCTGGAAAAGGCGCCATCTGACTGAAAAAATACAGTAAACTACTGACTAAAGCATAACCCCTGCTTCTTCTCATCATACGTCTGCCAGTTTAAGCTCCTTATTCTCACTACTGAATGCTAGAGCTAACTCAATAACACTGAATGCATGACAATGCCACAATGTTAAAGTCAAACCCAGTACACATACTATTCCTTGGTGCTCTCCTACACGGAGACTGTTCACATCTTCACTAAATTCTCCAAGTAAACTTACCTTCCCAAGGAACCAATTCTAACCTACTAGCTCCACCTCTACTCATCTTTAGGGAAGATAATACTAAAACTAAGAGTCTAGAACAGCAATAATTCAAACTGTAAAGCACCACCTGAAGCGATTAAAAAAAAAAATCAGAAACGCGACTCTGTGCTAATGAATCCAAAAAAACACAATGAACTAGGAAAAAATTGATCCAAGAGAAGATTTGACCAGAATAACCAGGACGGATGACACTGAGAAAATTACACAGAACAGAGTAACACTGAGCTCACTTTAAAAGGTCCAAGGCCCAGCCAATTTTCCTCTATGTTCTTTCACACTTTAAAGAATAAAGCATCTTCTGAATTATTCCAGGATGCACAGAAGATGTCCTCAGCCACATTAATGAAGCTGGCCCACAATCTGACCAAAGGGACAGAAAAGCAGCACTACAGATGGCATCTTCTCTGAATACAGACAGTTAACATCTATACTAAGACAATTATCCACAGATTAAAAAATCATGTCCAAGTAGAGTTTACTACAAGAATGCAAAGATATTTCAATATTCAGAAGTTGCAGGCTGAGTATCCCTTATCCTAAATACTTGGAACCAGAGACAGTTTCATGTATTTTCCTATTTTGGAGTATTTGTACATACACTATGAGATACTTTGGGGAGGGGACCCAAGGTTAAACATGAAAATTCACTGATATTTCGCATCAATCCTCAACAGAGCCTGAATACTTCAGCGTGCATATGTTTTGGCTGAGATCTGTCACATGAGGTCAGGTGTGGAACATTCCACCTGTGGTGTTATGTGTGCACTCAAAAAGTGTGACTTTGAATTTTGGGAGTAGAGATGTTCAACCTGTATTACACCTTGTAACATCAACAGAAGGCGGCAGGGGGGAAAAGTAATTTTAATAATGTCCACATGTACTGGATTGGAAAAACACCTCAATATTCAACAGAAAAT